AGTGTGCAACACTTTGCACTATTTAGTAGTAAATAGTGCTAATTAAACAATAGAAAACAATAGGATTAGCATAATTTAGCAGTATTTAGTGGTATTTATGYTATACACTCATAGTGTTTGTASTCTAGCGAGTGAGCAACGAATACGTAAAAAACTATTTGTAAAACCTCGGGATGCGACATTTTGCTCTAATTAATTCAATAAAAAAAAGACAACGTACGGCCATCCATTTGTCTACCCCTCATCCATCTATCTAAGCATCCATTTCTTCATCCATCCATTCCTTCYTCCCACCTATCCATCTTTCTGTTCATCCACCTTTACATGCATTCATCCATGCTATATTCATTTCCTCACTTGCCCACAACCCCCTGCCCAAAATGGGCAACCCTAAAAAGTTATGATGGGTTCCCTGTGGTATGTTTCTTATATTTACCTTTGCCTTCTTCTTCCTAAAAGATAGCGACTCAAATTTTAAGGAAACATGGTAAAAGGCGTTTGTGAAGCAGTTTTTTTTAAAAACCACAATTATTTCATGTAAAAAAATATTCCAAGCCGTTTTTAGAACAACTCCCCACCCCTCCCCTATATTATCCACTCTAGGTAGCCTAAGAGAGCAAGGGATTGTGGGTGAAAACATACCAAAAGAAAAAATAGAGTAAAAACGGGGAAAGAAGTCGAAATATTTCTCATTTCTCGGCGTCAAAAATCCTTTATTCTCCGACACAACCATCCTAACGCCATGTCCATATAATAACAAGAGAAAATGCTGCAATTGGGACGTAGAAAATGCCTACAAAAGGAGTCGTAGAGGAAAGTAAGCCTGTTAATATTCGAGAGATTCAGGAATCTGAGTTGAGTGAAGCTCCAGTTATGATGGCTACAGTTATTTCATCTGGAAGAGCTTCTTCCCTATCGTTAGAAGAAGTAATCAAACAATTTAATACTAGTGAGACTCGGGGATTAACAAACGATGAGATTGAACGACGGAGAATGCTACATGGATGGAATGAATTCGACGTATCTGAAGAGACGTCTCTGTGGAAAAAATATCTTGATCAGGTTAGAGCAGGTCTTTTACTGTTATTTTTGTTACATAAAAGATAACATCTTTGATTTAAAATTACTACGGTTTCTGAGTTTCTAATTGTGTTGTTTTTTCAGCTGAAAAGACGTTATATTCTCTTAAAACTGCACATCCTTTTTTAAAGCTCTAATTTTTGAAAAACCAATTAACTTAAATTCAATGGTAGACTATCCTAAAAAAAATTGGTAGACGACTACGGCTCATAAAACTGATGCAAAATTAGGTTACTAGTTTTTATACCTCTAGTCCAATATTTTAGGACACTTTTTAAAATAAATATACATTTTRCTTTACTTAGAAATGATTCATTCTTAGATTTAATGCACCTATCAATATTATGCCCTACTGGGGTGGGTGGGAGGGGTACCCTTTGAAAATAGCATTTTCCTTGGATGACATCACAATAATATTGTGCATCATGGGATTGAAATGAGGACAAGCCAAGCCTACAGTACAGCCCAGAAACGTGCACATTAATCACGTTTTTTGAGCAAGCAGATCGCAAGCTGATCGCACCAAGTGCTTGCAATCTGCTYGCAATTTGTTCGCACCATTCTTTATTGTTGCTCACAATTGGATCACGTTTTGATCTCGATCACAGTGTGCTCGCGTACGATACGGAAGCAAAACTTGACTACAGCTTTCTCTTCCACAAAGAATCTGTTCCACAAAGATTATGTTTGGTTTTATCTTTGTGTTCAAATTTTCAGCTGAATCGACCTGTTTGTTCGATTGATTTGGACAACCACCTCGACTGAAGCAACKTTTACAAAATGCAAAGTGTACATGCTAACATGCTTGAAAAATATTTAATGTAACTAGTCTTATTGTTTCCAATTCATGAAAGAACTACTGACATGAGTGAAAAATGTCTGCACATGCTCTAAGTGGGTATGCAAATTTGTCAAAATATCTTCATGTTACAGTTGAATCCCGGTAGCTAAACCTCCAAGGGAAATGAAAAAAGGTTCAAGTTATTGGGAGTTCAATTTATTGGAAGATAAGGAATAAATTACCRTGTTTTGCTCTAAAATTTATTTTTCTTCCAAAATAATGCATTTTAATCAGGTTTATGATGGCAAAAAGCTTAAAACGAACAACATTTACAGTACTTATTTGGTTAATAACACAGAACTAAGCAGCAAAGCTTATTTTTTGTTAAAAACTAGTTGAAAGGACTTTCTGCTGACTCAGCTTTATCGTAAAAWAACAGTGTTCTCACTGGAATAAACTAACACATTCACAATTTACTGATGCTTTAAAATAAATTAAATTAATATTCCAGCATATGTTTTGACTTGTTATGTTTTAAAACAAAGGTTGAGTGATTGARGGTAAAATTCTATAGAATGTGACCAGAGGGGAAACAAAAATCCCTTTGAGAAGACAGTACAGTAATTCATTTGAATTACCAAGGGTAAAATTACAGTAAAAGTATGGCATAAATCAAGGGAAATTAATGTTGATTCAAGTTAGAGCAAGATTCAAGTTACCGAGGGTTCGAGCTGCTGGGATTCAACTGTATTGTAAAAATATTTAAATTTGACTTCCAAACATGCCTGACAAATGGACTTTACAAAATGCCAAAACTTAGTGTCCATGCTTGAAAGTTAAGGCTAATTCTTTCATATTGCGTTTGTTAATACAGTATCTTGGTCCCACTAAAGTATGCTAAAAAAAAGTATGCTCGTAAAATATTTTGTATACTTTGAGAAAACAAACAAAAAAATTTTCTCAATTCCTGGAAAATGTGCTGAAAGGCATACAGTACATGTGCAAACATTTTTCTCTAGTGCCGGAAGACCTATGGTTTTTCAACTGATATTATTATTCTTTTCCATGTAATCAAAGCATTTGTTTGCAATGTTTATCCACATTTTGATCCCACAAGTCTTTGCAATATCTATTTTAGTAACCATGGAAATTGCTATTGACATACAGTATCATTCAATGTCTCCACAGTAGGGGATTTGACATGGCTGCCATCTTGAAAATAGCCAGAAAATACAATAAACGTGTGTWCTAAGGGTGGAAATTTGGGATTAGAAATACTGTCACCAGTTTGGCATTGATCAATGCATACCACTGTCTTTGAAGACCACAGACTCATTTGCACAAGCTTAGCCACGTTTATAAGTCCACTGTTCACAGATGACATAAAAAATCTGTAGGATTTCAAAACATTGGTATCGTTCAACTTGCGCACTCTTTACATTACAGTTGACTTTTGCAAATGATTTGCTTTTAAACCAGGCTGAGCCTGTGCAGATCTGAGTCTTTAAATTGGTCAAAAAAACACATTTACCGAATGAAAAAAGAGACTATTCAAAATGTAAATTCCCCTTAGATCACCCCCTCCCCTGACCCTGGGGCTTTACATTTCATAGGTGCATGATATTGAACTTGAGGGTGTATTAATTATGAAACAGCAGGCTGGGGTAAAATAGATGCTCTCAGTCTGACCTCTAGCTCAGCTGGTAGAGCATCGGTAGTACAATTCTGAAGGTCTTGGGTTCGGTTCCCAGTTCAGAATTTAATTCCAAGGGCTTTCGCCTGGAATAACCTTGTTCCCAAGCACTATAACTTATCTATGTTTCTATATCTTCATTTAATTCATAAGTGCTACA